TGTACAATAGTTGAGCAGCATTTGGTTGCGTTTCTTTACTGACTCACTAAAAACTGTTTTGTTTTAAACGTTTTTATTTAATGCAGGGAAAAAAGAAAAGGATTAAATGGTTTCTGAACTCTTTGGCGCCCCCAGGTGGCATCCTGATGTACGGCGCCCTGCTGCTGTTTGAGTCGGAGTTTGTTCACGTGGTGGCCATCTCGTTCACGGCGCTGGTTCTGACGGAGCTGCTGATGGTGGCGCTCACCGTGCGGACCTGGCACTGGCTCATGGTGGTGGCCGAGTTCTTCAGCCTGGGCTGCTACCTCGCCTCCCTCGCCTTCCTCAACGAGTACTTCGGTACGTGAGCCGCTTAACGCTGGGTTCTGCTTCTGCTCTTCGCTCACTTTGAGACAAAGCCGCAGGTTTCTGGGCTTCATGGAGCTTCTGGGTGTAGAACCGGGTCAGGTTCTTGACCTCTGGAGGATCCAGAGGGAAACATCTCAGCAGAACAGAAAACAGTCTGCCTGAACCTATGGAGAGAAATCTGATCCAAAAATCACTGAAAGCACTGTTTAAAAAAAGCAAATACTATGAAAGTTACTATGGAATACTATGAAAATTTGTTTTAAAAAAAATTGTTTTGAGTCTATTATGAGTATGAAAAAGTTCAACCAACATTTTTACTTTTTTTTTTTTCAGTTTTTATTCAAATTTTATTTTGTAAAGTATTTTTTACATTTTATTTTTCACATTTTTGGCAGGGAAAATTTTTAAAGTTTTTAAATATATATATATATATATATATATATTTAAATCCACAGAGACAACCCAGAAGTTTAGAGGGTTAAATCTGTTAAACCAGATTTGAAAAGATTGTAATTTATAACACACAAAAAAAAAAGTTTAAAAAAATGTACAAAAAGTTTTTATTTATTACATATATATATATATATATATATATATATATATATATTAATATATTATGTATTTTTTTTGGGCGGGGGGGGACATCTGAAAGAATAAAATGTTTGAAAAAATAAGTTTGGAAGAAAAAATATAAAACAGGAAAGTTATTGGTTGAACTTAATGAGCAACTTTTTTTTTTTTTTTACAAAATTTTTCTCCAAATTCTGTTTGAAACATTTTCCTTGCTTTCAATAATATTGGAACAAATTTCTCTCCATAAATCTGTGGTTTTCTGGAGCAAAGGGCGGATGTGAGCTTCAACCAGCAGAACTAGTTTAACTGGAGGACAGCGAGGGTCCAGAGGGCTGAACAGAATCGGTTCTGGATGAAAGCCGGAGCTGGATGTCTGTTCGGTACCATCGGTACCATCCCAGAGGTCCAGAACCTGACCGGACCTCTGATGTTCATCAGCTTAAGATCCTTAAGAACCTTCAGGGCAGATCTGAAAGATTTTGGTCCATAATTTGTCCTTTCTTCCTCCAACTGTTCTGAAATGTTCTACAGAGGTTCTGGTCGACCCGGTTTGGTGTCAAACATCCTCCTGTTTCTAACCCTGAAGAGGAGGACCACCAGGAAACACTGCTTATTTATATATGTGTGTCCCGTAGACATTACATACGTAGACGCCTAGAGGGCGGCCATCTTGGATCAGACCTCAGTTCAGACAGCTGCTGTCAGAATAAAGGGAGGCGCCTCAGATCTCATTTTAATCACATGAAAGACGAGTCAGAGAGAAAATCACAATAATCGCTGACATCTTACAACCACTTAAACGACCAAAATTAATTCTACAATTAACTTTAAATTAGATTACACACATTTAAAACAGCTTTTAGTTAGACACAAGATAAATTTACCATTCTCTACAATTTGACCAACAAGTTTTGACCATGACAAATAAATAAAAATTAACATAAAATTAATTTTAAAAAACAAAATAATAACTTTGCTCTCTTTTGTAAATCACATTACAAATGTTCCTCTATAGATCATAATACTCGTTATCAGAGAACAATCCTTGAAAATACTGAATAATTATATTAATATACTATATAAATATATACTATTTGTAAAACATAATCTTTTAATATGATAATATAAAACTTTTTGTTGATCATATTTATATTTAATTGCGAAATATATAACTTTAAACTTCACTTTAATAATAATAATAATAATACATTTTATTTGTATTGCACTTTACATTT